AGTGGTACTGGAGCCTGCAAGAGTGCAGTCCACTAGTCGGTGGGGGGCGGGGTGGGGGGAGGGTTGGGTATCTGTAGAGAGACAAAAGACTGGGAGGGAAGTTGGAACCAATGCCCCAGCCCTTCTCTCCCTGCTGCCCTCTGACCTCCCACCTCCCACTGGCTCAGCCTATCAGAAAGTAAGTCAATAAGAGAAATCGGGTCATGTTGTCCTTGGAGGGGTCAGCCTTCTGGAACATGGGGGCAAGGCAGGGCAGAGAATGGACATAGGGGCAGATGGGTGGACCAGAGTAAGCAGAACAGAGATTNCACCCAAAAAAATTTCACCCTTCCACAAAAGCCCTTTGAGTTGCTATGGATTGAGATTTGATTGGAGACTTTACTATCAGAGTGGTTAAGTCTCCCTAGTCCAGTGCTGCTGTGTGCGGGACTGAAGGCCATTCAGGGCTTCATCCTATCATTGTTTCCTATGCTTCGTAAGCAGCTGCTTGCACAGCTCAAGGAACCACACCAGGATGAGGGTAAGGCCAGGCCGCCCCTAGAGAGGGGATTAGAAACTGCACAGAAATTTGCGGACATGTATTGCTCATGTGTTTTCTAACGTTATGAAATTCCCTGAGGAGGAGGGGAACAAAGCTCCGTGAAAGCACTTGCCTCCCCTGCTTTGGATTTGAAAGTACAGCTAAGTGCCAGAGAACAGACCACAGTCCTGTACTGGCAGCCTGGCAGGCCACAGGCCTTGGGACAGAAAGAGTCAGCCACGACATAACTTCTGAAATGGGACAGTAATTCTCTGCATGTTCTCCTGGTTGTAGCTTCCCTCTTAAGCCTTGGGCTCACAGATGGACTCCTCAGTGTCCCCAGGAGTCCAGCACCGACCTGCTGTGCTTGAGAAATCTTGCAAGGAGACTTAGCTTCCTTTTAAAATAGAAGGAGCTGGGACAGGAAGTTCCACTTAGAGCTTCACTTCTTTGGCTTTACAGTTTGCCTCCTGCTTAAATGCAAATTTCCTAGAAAGGAAAACACTCCAACTCTTTTCAACGTTCTACCATGGGTAGAAGAAATGAAGAAGGAAATGGCAACCTCTTGCCTGGGAAATCCCATGGACAGAGGAGCCTGGTGGGCTATAGTCCATGGGTTTGCAAAGAATCTGACACAACTTAGTGACTAAACACCAACGACAGCAAGCATGGTTCGGCCACTCCCATTCTGCTGCCTCGAGGGACTGGGCAGGAGTTTGCCACCCCTGGTTTACATCTTCCTCTAAGGTCTTTTTCTCATTTTCTCTCCAGAACCCATTTCTAAAAGAAATGCAGATCTTGGCTACTCTTGTGGTGGAGCAAAGCCCTCTACATATAAGTGAGAGGAGAGAGAGAGAGTAGGTCAGAAAATGCTCCAGGCTGGCCTTGTTCTCACTAGGTTTCAAAAGAGTGTCCAAATGTTCTGGTCTCATAATTAGGTACTCTATAGAGAGGAAAGGTCAGAACATCCCTGGCCCTACATGTAGTATCTTGATCACAGCAGCCAGACTTTACTTGGCTTTAAGGACAAAATATGGCCAGAGAAGCATGTTGGACCTGCTGCTAGTACTGTTTAGGGGTTGTTTGCAGCAGAGTTCAATGATTTGAGGCAGGAAAAAATACAATGATTTTACAACAAGATTTTGAGCCAAAGACTAGTTCTAGTTACAACGTAGAAGTATGTTCTGTACCTGATGTGAAAACATGCTGTTTGTTAAGTGGAAAATTCTAAAGCATCAAACATTTAGTGACCTCCACCCCACCAATGCAAACCTGAGAACATGACCTTGAAACTAAATAATGAAACAAAAGGAGGGTATTGCATCTTGGATCCTGTATCTATTGATGCATCACTTGATAATTGAATCTGGCAAAAGAGTGAATTGGAGTCTCTGAATTTTGGAAACAAGGCAGAATCAAAGTGCCCAGAGAACAGCATCCCTAACTGCCAGCATCACTGCCCATCTGACTTCCTCACTAAAACTGGCCTACAGATAGGTTGGCTTATTTATTTAGTGCTGGCATGTCTCGTTCTCTCATTCTCCATCCCCTGTGACTCTCGTCCTCCGTAGATTTCTTTTTCAAGCCCAAGAGCATGCTTGTATTGTGCATATGATTAGTTTACTTATGGCAGAAAGGAGCAGGTCAGGGAACATCCTCTAGTGGGGGCTGTGTCTCTAAAGTCTTTGGTGAGTCTTTGGTAGTCCAGTGGCTAAGACTGCATGCTCCCAATGCAGAGGACTTGGATTTGACCCCTGATCAGGGAACTAGATCACACATAGAGCAACTAAAGATCCCATGTGCTGCAACTAAGACTCAATGCAGCCAAATAAATACTTTTTAAAAAATATGAAGTCTTTGGCAAGATTCAAAAAATAGCAGGATGTCATCTCTCTGGAAAGGTGCCCGTCGGCATTGTGGCTGAAGAGATGAGGTATCTAGCTGCCCTGACTGGTGTCCTTCCATCCTGAGAGACCAGTACTCTATTTCTGGTGAATGAACCTATATATTAAAGCTGGCCCTCATAGGTCTGTGTTTGCCAAGGCTTCTCTGCTCTATCTGTGCTGTAGCTGAGTTGCCTGTGCAGGGATATGGGAGAATCACCGAGTGTGCAGGGAGAGATTCCTTCCATATAGCTCCATGCTATAGAAACAGCCAGGAGCGAGTTCTTGCCAATAGTAGTAACAGTTGGAAACAAGAGCAGAGTGAATGTGAGTGTACAAAGCACTGTAGTAGTAATGGTCCTTTCAGGTGTACTCAAGGTGTAGGAATGATGTGAAGGAGGGACGATACTTTTTGGCTGTTTAGAAAGGCAGGGTTGGTGGGTTTTTTTTTTTTTTTTTTTTTTTTGGCAGTGCCTCACAGCATGTGAGATCTTAGTTCCCTGACCAGGGATTGAACCCAAGCCCCCTGCTTTGAAAGGGTGGAGTCTTAATCACTGGACCACCAAGGAAGTCCCAGAAAGGCAGGTGCTTAGGTAGCATTTTCAGTGTGTTAAAAATGAACACCAGTAGCCCTCTGCATCGCTTCCATTCATTGCTATTACCCTTGCAGGGAAGGTCTTCACAGAGTGAAGACCTTTTTCTGTACTAGATGCATTGGGAAGTGAATGACAACTATAGGAGGGTAAAAAAGAGCTCTCTGATGATTTCGGGCAAATGACTTCACAGATTTGTCCCTGTGGAACTGTAGAGAGCAATCATATTTGTTACCGTCTGGCTAAGAGAAGCTCTCTGGTTGAGAGAATCAATATTTGGAATCTAGAAATAAAAAGAGGCTAGCTAAATAAATTATGTGATTATATTTCGAATTTTGAAAAGGAGTTTTAGATGAATCTAAGCATAGGTTCTAATAATCCATTGGTCTGTTATACTCATGACATCTAACGGAGAAAAATGGCTTTCTAGAATCAATGTGGAAATTTTTTGTAAATGATAGGTTGTTATTGGTCTGGAGCTGATAAGACTGTCTCATGCCTCAGGGACCAACAGGTCTCCTGGCTGATTGGTCTTTGATATGAACACTGATGGTATGAAGCAGTGTGGCTTTGGAAATTAAACTTATGTAAAGGCGAGGTATTTATGTGACATCTGATTTAATTTGGCATATTCTGAATTTTTAAGATTCTGAATTCTATCAATAACAAGAATATACTGTACATGGAATCTTCCATCAAGGAACTGACTGTAGGAACCTGTGGTGTGGGCCTCTCTTTGGGGTAATTATGATGGAAAACTCTGCTACTCGTGTCACAGTTCTGACCATGACATTTCCCTTATGTTGTAAAAACTACAAGCCAGGGTATCATGCTTGTGTTCCTGCCCTTGTACGCATGTGACCTGACAGTTTCTCCAGTACTGCAGAAGGTCTACTAAGGCTGACTCTCCTGGACATTAGAGGACATTAGAGATCATTTTTGTCGTCCTCTTATTGTGCACATGCAGAAACTGGAGCCCAGAAATGTTAACACGCTGCCCAGGCTCACACCTGGATAGCACTTGGTCCCATTTCTCCTGTCCCCTGGTCAGGTCCCATCTCTTTGAGACCATTTCAGACTGGCAGTAGGTCATTATGATTGCCCATGGAAAGGAGTGCTTAGATGTGTCCTCTGGTTGAAAGCCCGGGAACAGTCAGATGATATTCACCATCTACCAATGATGTTGGGCCATCCTCTTTGATACACTGACTGCATTTCTAAAAGCAGAAATTCCATGAGAATGGAGGGTCCCAAGCAAAATCCAGCTAGGTGGGAACATCAAAATTGTGTTGGTCGTCTTCCATTTTGGTCTGTGGCCACATAAGCTAAAAGCTATGTGAGTCTGAAGACTTGAACGCATCCCACAGCCCTGGGCCAGGAAGATCCTCTGGAGAAGGGGAAGGCAACCCACTCCAGTAATCTTGCCTGGAGAATCCCATAGACAGAGGAGCCTGGTGGGCCATGGTCCATAGCATTGCAAAGAATTGGACACGACTGAAGCAACTTGGCACTCACACTATGGTTACGACTGCTAATTTAAAGTCTTCATCTGATTATTCCAATGCCCGAGTCATCTCAATTCTGTGGTCTATTGATTGCCTTTTACCTTGAGAATTGATCATGTTTGCTTGCTTTTTTGTATGTTGCATTTTGGATAGTATAATGCATATATATTAAATATTGTGTTTTAAAACTCTAGGTCCTGTTTAAATGCTCTGGAAAAGGTTGACTTTTTTGGTTTCATTTTAACAAAACTTGATTAGATTAGACTGAAAATTCTGCCTCATTTTCTATGTGCAGTGGTTCCCCATATCTGTTCAAGTTTAAAAGCCTGTTCCCCACCAGAGAGTCCTCCAGAGTGAGTATATAGTATGTGCATGTTCTGTAATTCTTCAGTGATGTAATTCTCATCAGAGAATAACAAACTGTCTTGTTCCTGTGATTTTCACTGTCTGCATTGACTTTTTCTATCAACTATTAATGTTTTATTTATTTATTTTTTAGCAACAGAAAATTCAAGGAACTCCAACAAAGAAAAACAAATCAAAAAAATTGGATCCACTCAAAGGCCAGAAGGTTATTGCAAGATGTGATGAAAATGGCTTTTATTTTCCAGGTAGGTAGATATTTTATTTTGTAAAATTCCTTTGTTAAGTAATACGATATCAGGGACCAGAAGTTCTCAAACTGTGCTTTCCCTATCACACTGACACTTCATGAGTTGTACTAAGGTATTCCACTTCTAAAATGAAAGGATGATGTTTCTACTCATACTTGTGGAGAAGTAATCACCAGAAAAACTTATATTAATCTTTCATTTGTTTAGTAAACAAGTTTTTTACTACATATTTACTATATTCCATGTATGTAATATTCCTAAAGTGCTGGTCTACCATAGTAAGCAAACAGAAGAAAATTCTTGTCTTTATGGAGAAAAAGAAAGAAAGACACGGGGACCCATGCTCTGATGGAACAAGGGTGTTTTATTCAACATAGTGTGGGTATATATACTGTCTTACAAGGTAGCTTTTTTCAGCAAAGATAAAGATCAAAAGTCCAGACTTGCAAATTATCAAGGAAACATAAGACAATCCATATCAAAGAGAGAGGATTGTAAATAATCATTTTTACTGTATAGTCCATAAAAAGGAAGAGGGTCTTAAATAGTTACTTTTCACCATATGGAAAAACTAATGAAGGAAATTCGTGCATTCCTCAGCCCTGGGAGTGGTTTGCCACTCCTCTTAATTCCTGAATATTCAGGAATTAATAAGGAACAGAGGATTCATGACAGATCCAAAATAGCACACAGGAAGCCTCCTTCCTGTTAAATGCTTCCTGACAGTCGATGAAGAGCTTATGGGTGAAGTGACATATTAATCAAGACTTTCAAAAGGAGCGATAAGGGACTTTCCTGGTAGTCCATCAGTTAAGACTGCAGGCTTCCACTGTAGGGGGCATAGATTTGAACCCTGGTCAGGAAGCTAAGATCCCACATAGCGTGTGGCACAGCCAAAAAAATTAAAAAATAAAATTTAAAAATAAATTAATTAAAAGGGGCCATGAGATTATCTGGGGGAGAGAGTTCTAGCAAGGGAAGAGCAGGGCTTCACTAGAAGCCCTGAGAATGGAATGCCTATGACAGCCTCTTCCTTAGAGGAAGAGTCCAATGTGCCTGGGACCTGATGAATTGTAGATGCACCATGAGACACTAACATTGTCAGAGAAGCAGTTGGAGATATGGAGCTAGAATCTGGAGAGGAAATCTGTCCAGAGATAGAGATTTTTGACATGTCAGAACAAAAGTACTCACTGAAATCATGTAAAAAAAAGCCTATGGGGAAAGGGAGCTTAAAGAACCCGGAAGAAGAGGTGCCCATCAAAAACATTATACCTTGAAGTATAGCCAATCCTACTGTCAATCACCAGTTTAAAAAAATTATTTGGTAAACTTAATTAAATCTGCTTTTTAAGTGGGAAGAATACTTAAATAGGAATTTGGGTTTCCAGCAGACATATGTGTAGAACTAACAACTAGGATATTGTATTTGAATTTTTTTTACCCCTTCCAAAAGAAGGAGCACAGGCATGATCTTCATTGGTGACTCCTTTCTGATAATCTTTGTTCAAAGCCTCATAAATGTTTCTAGAGGAAAACAGCTAAGCCGAAGGCAGCTTCAGAGCAATTGGATCAAAACATCCTTTGCATAAGGCCAGGTCTGTGCAGGAGCAAAACTGGCTCAGTCTTGCTGCCACCCTTGGGAATCAGGGCAGGGATTTCCATTTGGCTACCTCTGTTCCAAAGAATTGATGCTTTCAAATTGTGGTGCTGGAGAAGACTCTTGAAAGTCCCTTGGACTGCAAGGAGATCAAACCAGTCAATCCTAAAGGAAATCAGTCCTGAATATTTATTGGAAGGATTGATGCTGAAGCTGAAGCTCCAATACTTTGATTAAATTTGATAATGTGCAGCATTTTGAAATTGGAAAGTGTTAATTACCTGTAGAGTTTGTCTATTACTGCCTCTTGGGAGATATAAACGACTCACCTGGGGTCCTCACCTGGGGGTATAGAACACTGCTGGAAGTTTAAAAACTTTAACAGTAGTTTTAAAAGTTTAAGAACAATTCAAAAACACAAAACTAGCACAGTGAGCTACAGAGGAAACCTCTGAGACTAAAGGAAGAAGAGACTATGATGATTAGATGTATAGGCTGGAAGTCAGTGGAGGTGGGGCCAGTGGAAGGCGCATTTCCAGTTGAGCAGAACAGGTGCCTTTTCCAAGAAACAGAATCCCAGCCCAGTTGTGAATATCAGAAGGTTCTTATAGCCAGAGGTAAAAAAATCTGCACTCCAGCCTGAGAAATTCCTGTTTGGAATGAAGATTGAAAACCACCCCTGCTTTCTTTCGCTAAACTAACTGACACATGCTGTCTACTTAGACTGTTTCTTCATTCCTCTGACCTTTGGGCATGGGCAGTGTTTTCACTGAGGGTCTCAACTGGGGGGCACCCCTTTCTCCTCCCACCTGGGTATAGGAGAATCCCCTAACCGAGGTGGGGAAGCTGACTCATACCCAGGAAGATGGGGATCCCTGAGCCTCCAGCAGGAGGAAGACAGAAAGCCATGGAGGTAGTTCTGGTCTAACCTCCAGAGCCAGAGCCCCAAATGGCCCTGAGAGATACCTTCTCACCTCTCTGAGGCTGAGGGCAGAAGGAAACTGCAGCATAAGGGCAGCCCAGAATAGGAAGCCAATCTTGAATCAGGACCTGGAAATGGCAGCGACTCCTTAATGAGGTGGAGAAGGAGTTAGTGCAGAGGCTGAGCCATAACCAGACAGGCCAGCAGCTCTGGGTCCTCCGTCCTGATTTACAGCCATCCAGGTGTCAACACCATGAGGCTGGCTCCACAGTTAATTGGAAAGAAACTGCACTGATTTCTGGAGGTGAACAAAAACCCACGAATGCAGAGATTGAAACAGAAAAGAGCTGGTAGAAACTTAACAAATGTCTAGGTCTAATGATCTAGATCAAGGGCAGGAAGCCTTTTTATGTAAAGAAGCAGCTAATTCATGGTGTAGACTCCATGGCCATGCAGCTGTACAGCTGCTCAACTCAGGCAGACACCTGAAAAACTTACCCCAGTTTTAAGACTGGATTCTACACAGTCCCAAAGGCTAAGAATTTGAGGAAGGTCACACTGGCCAACAAGGTCATCTTGGCAGCTTGGACCCTCACCCCTGCTCTGGTGGCAGTGGTTGGTGGTTGTGGCAGGGGCATACATATGCTGGGGATATAAGGATTCTTCTCACCTCACAGTAGTTCTTTGTTTTCATAGTAGGAATTCTTTATAAAAAGTAGCGTTTGTTTTCCTAATGAAAAAGGTAGAGTCAATTTATGATAGAAAATGTGTGAATGGTGTGTAACTAGTACTTCAAAAACCAAACCAAACATTTTAGTCCAATAAGAAAATAAATAACCTAAAGCTGGTTTTCTTGTGTGTGGTGGGGAGGGGAGGGCGGTTGTTTTGTTTTTAAGCTTTCCCTTTCTTTGGCCTTTTACAACAAGAAACATGGGGAACTTCCCTGGCGATCCAGTGGTTAAGACTCAGCACCTCCACTGCAGGGGACACAGGTTGGATGCCTGGTGTAGGAACTAAGATCCCATAAGCTTCGCAGTGTGGCCAAAATAAAAGGATTAGATTCTTTATAAATAAATAACTGATACAAGATGCGTGGATTCAAGATGAAAGCCAGCAGCTGTTTCTTTGCCACCTGGAGGGACCTGAGACTTCACTAAGGCTGGCATGTGAGCTGGAGTGGGGAAGCCAAGGCAGGGCGTTGGAGCCCAGTGTGGGGACGAGCACATTTCTGTCTCTGGATAAGGGGGTCCAAGTGAAGCTGTTACTGCTGGGGAAGTGTCCCTGTCAAAAACCTCTCCCTAATGTTGATAATCCCTTTGCAATGGGAAAATTAATTTCACCTAGGATAAATAACAAAATCCATGAACCTTAACACTGATATATTCTTTTCCTGTTATAATAATCTCCCCATATAACTAAAAGACAAGAAAACTTACTCTTTTTTCCTTCATTTTTTGATTATACATTTTAGGGAAGCCGTGGGGTGTGTAATATCAGATGAGAAGCTGAGGATGGGAATTCATATTGCCTTTCACTTTCTCAATTTAACAATAATGATTTTCTGTCTCTGAGTATATTATAGAAGGAAATATGGCTAAAATAAATAAGATGGTAGGAAGCATCCAGGGAGAGGGTATTTCTAGGATCCGTGTTCCTATCAGGATGGTTTCTGGGAATACTGGTTGAACAAGTTCCCACGTGTTCTCTCAGCTTCCCAGCTCAGCTCCAGACCAGAGCACGGCACTGCTGTCTGAGCTGGTTAACCCTAGCAGGCATCACACAGAACCCAGAGTTATACGGTGGAGAAATCAAGGGGCTCGCTGATTTCAGCAGGCAAAGTGTTATAACTTAGCAAACCCAAGAGCATGGGGCAAGCCTAAGGGAACAGGCATTGTCTTTATATTTTATTTCAATAATTTGATTTCTTATAGGAGTTGTGAAGAGGTGTGTGAGCCCCACCCATGCACTCGTGGGCTTCAGGTATGGAGACACCAAGGTTGTGCCCATCTCGTTCATCACGCCGGTGGGCGGTGCCATGCCCTGCCCACTGCTACAGGTACCTGCTCCAGCCAGCTGTTCCCCGGCCCCTTTTCACCATTCCTAGAGCTCTGGACAGCAGTGGCTGGTGTTCCTGTGACCTCTTGCCTAGCAATTTCTTTGCTCTTGACCCTTATCTGCCAACGCCTTGTTTAAATAGCTCAGTCCTGCTTGCATTGCCCCTGAGGCCTTTGTTGCTTTACAGACAATAGATGGGTGGTGGGAAGGGAGTTGCTATAACTGCTAGAGCTCTGGAGGCTTTCATTGCAGGAAATTAAAATAACACAGATTGAGTAACAAGAGCAGAGGTAGCACTTGCCTTGACACCGTAGTCAGTTGATGCCAGACCTTGATGCCATAATGCAGTTGCCCCTCAATGTGCATCCCAGGGGGGAGCGGGGCTGCTGTGTTCTCATCTGCTTGTAAGTTCATCAGAGCCATGCTGTGTCTGCCCATTCTCCTGTGTTGGCCTTGTTCCAGCATCAAGGCCAGAGGAGAAGGCCTCTGCAGAGTTCCACTGCTGCCGTTTCTTGAATAGTATGAGCCTGGAGGAAAAGCAGTGAGGGGCACTCAGAGGGCTCACGTGGGTTGTCTATCCCCACATCTCCTGGGCAGACCCAAAGGCACATCAGGGCACTTTCCCCCAACCACGAATCCCCTCCATCTGACTGATGCCCAAAACTCTGTGTCCCTTCACCAGAGTTTGTTTCTCCTGGAAGTTATCTCTCTGTGACTTTTCCCCACAGATTCCAGGTGTGAGATTCAGAGCCACATTAAACAACACGCTCCTTTCCTCTATCCCTGATAGCCCTTCAAACTCATTCTTGTGTCAAAGAGTCCTGGTTCCTTCAACGAGTCATTGTAGGAGTTGGTTTCCAGAGCCCTCGCCACCTTGTTGGCTGTCCCTGAGACCTTTGGCAGGTGAAGCCCTGCTGAATGCGGCTTCCATAGACTGATCACAAAATTCCAGCCAGGGCCCTATGAACCCAGAAAATGCTGGAACTAGTAACTCTTGGCCAACTAAGGGAAAAAATGTGTGTTTGAATCCTAGCATCAGCTAGCATCTTGGGGTGTTTCCAAACAAGCTTATTTACTATTGTTTCTAAGATCCATAAGCTGAATATTTGCTCTGAAAGATGTTCTCATCTACAGGTTGGAGATTATGTGTTTGCCAAAATTGTGATCCCCAAAGGATTTGACTTCTATGTTCCCGCCATTGTTATTGCACTTCCAAATCAAGATATGGCTGAAGATAAATTCTACACAGTTTTAAAGTGTAACAACCGGAGAGTAAGTAGACTTTCATTTAGAAAAGCACTTTTTCTTTAGGCAGAAAGTGGCTTCCTTGACCCCTGCCTTTCTTGTGTGCAGTGCCTGGCTCTTTCCTGCCCTAGCTGTATCTATTTCCCCTGCACGTCCAGCTCCTGTGGTTAGAGTTCCGTCCACTGGGCAACTCGAAGTCTGCCCTTGCTAAGGTCACAGTGCTCTTCTAACTCCCCCATCAGATGGTCTCTGGGGCTCTTCTTCCACATTTGGGGACTGGGGAGGCTTGCTCCAGTTCTGGCTTCATCAGGAGCCTCCCCAGTTTCTTACAGCCCCATTCTCTCTCCCTACTGCTCCTCCCTATGTATTTTTCCTAAATGTTTTAGAAAAAATATCAGGTTGCAAATCTGATGAGGTCACTTGCCTCCCTGATGTGCCGCCTGCCCCTGCTCCATCCCTACACACACACACTTCTCTTAAACCTCAAGGAAAAGCCCAGCCCAACCTCAGCCTGACCCCCCTGCCCTGTGAGTTTGACTCCCAGCCATATCGAAGGCTCACTGCTTCCTGAACACAGTGGACTTTCTCAAGCCTCTAGGTTTTTAATCCTTCCTGGATTACCCTCTCCATCTTCTTCCATATAAACTCCTGTCCCCTGAAGACTTTGCCCTGTTTCTGCCGAGGCCCCCAGGTCCCCTTGCACACTCTCCTACCTTCCTCTCACACCTCAGATCCCTCTCCAATCTCCCAACTCCTTAAAGGCAGGGCCTGGGTCCTATCCATCTTTGCACCCCTGGTACCGCTGCTGCTAGTGAGCACATTCTTACCATGGTTTTGTAAAGTGCTTGCATAAGTGATGTTTCTAATGGAAATAATGTTGTTTTGATGGCCCATGTAATACACTTGGAAAATGTATTGGCAAACAAATACAATCGTGCTGACTGTATTCAGCACTTTCTATGTGGCATGGGTACAAACCCAAGTGCTTCACACATAGTGAACAGTTGGATGCTGAGAACATAGTGAGGTACATACTCATATTCCCATTTTTATATAAGAAGCCAGAAGTGGAGAAGTGAAGTCACACCCAGGGTGAGTGGTATTACAGGCATTTGAACCCAGGAAGTCTGGTTTTGTGGCCTGCTCTCTAAATACCTGTGCCCAATTAAACAGAATTAAAATATGTTGTCAATTCTTGACTGTAACTGAGGTATGTCCATCAGGGAAAGGGTCATGGTGAGTGAATTTTAGGATGAAGGAATGAAACCTGGGATGGATGAGTGAAGGCCATCAGAGCCCCCTGGAGCGCTGCATCCAATCTGACAGATCAAGGGAGAGAGGGAGCCTTCTCATCAATCCAGGAAAACCCCTGAGGGATGATGGGCTCTCTGGAGCTGTTTGGATGACAGTGAAGAAGGCTCGAAGTGGGTGGGAAGCATCTCTGCCAGGTGGCCCCACTCTGGGGACTTCTACCAGGCAAGAGAGGAGAAAGCAGGTATAGGGTCATTGGGAGAGATGGCCCTGAATGGGCTCCAGGTGGCCCAGGGTCCCTGAGGGAGGGCCTCAGGAGTTACCCACAGGACAGCAGGGCCATGGGGACTAGATGGCGTGGTCTGGAGGATAGATGCCAAGGGCACTTCTGATAGGGATTCTGGGGGACCCAGCGGCTGACAGTGGGACATTGAGCATCAGGTGGTAGTGATAATTTATAAGTCCAGAAAGGAGATGGCCAAGGCTGAAGTTAAGATGGAAAGGAAGATAGTTATATGAAATAGTGTGTGTTTGTGCATGCACACACACATCTTAGAGGGGTAAACTTGGCAAATGACCCAGAATGTGGGAAAATGACAGAAAGGATTCAATGATGACTTTTATTCGGCATAAAATCACCAAGTTAGACTCTGCATTCAAACCACTCTCAAGTGTCACCAGAATAGGAAAATGGCTGGTAGCTATTACAATGGGCTGTACTAGAAAAATAAAATCACATCTGAATTGTGGACATTTCTGATTTAAATTGAATGAACTCTTTTGGTATTATTACAGGAATTTTGCCCTCGGAGTGCACTCATTAAGATCAGCCAAAACAAATATGCTCTCTCTTGCTCTCATATTAAGTCACCCCCAATTCAGGAGGATTCAAAAGTGTAAGTGGACCCAACTTCTTACTTTCTGAATTTGATTTATGTCTTTGCACTTTTCGTCTGCTTCTGAGTTGAGATCTATGATCTCTAAATGCTTGTGGAGAAAAGCAAAAAGTGAGGATTTCCTGCTAAAATGCAGGTCTAGGATGATGGTTCCTTCCACACCACACTGTTTATCTGCTGGTTGTTTGCCTATCTGGTTCTAATCTCAAATTCAACATTATGTATTTCACTGACCTTTCAGAAAAGCATTCAATCCTGTTGTGAATCTGAAGGAATTATTTTCCTTTTATTAGTAAGGATTCAAGGCCTTCTAAGATGAAATCTTACTAGAAAGCACAGGTTAGATTAAGTTACACTTGGGACCAATCACCCGTTGCCTCTCCTCATGGGGAGTGAGAGTAAGGTGCAGATCCTGGCTTACCTGTGCCCTGGTAAGTGTGGGTGGGTGGTAGTTGCCTGGGGCAACAGTGGGTGAACACATTTTTATCTGAGGCAGCAGGATCACTAAAAGCTGGAAAGGTGGATTAAAGCAAAATCAGTAAGAAAAGGCTGAGAACTGGAGAGTAGGCAAGAACCCAAGTCCCTGGGACCAACAAGGAGCATCAAAGTTGGAGTCAGAGCCATGACCTTGGAGGTGACCTTGAGCACAGGTTGGGCCATCTTTGGGTGCCAACCTTCCCTGTCCCCATGGCCTCACCTGGGCTTCATAGACAGAAACCACCAGACGTTCTCTCGCTGTGCTGCTTTCCCCAGCTCTGGGCTTGTGGAAGCCTGGATCCCTCCCCCTGACGTCAGAGTCCCTCCTTGTCCTACGCTGATCTGCCCAGCATGTCTGTTGCAGGAAGAGGGACCTTTTCCAGAACCCAAGAGTGGGCTCTTGTCTAACACTTGGGAAATGAATTTTTCGAGGAGACACATGTGCTGACAAAGCAAGAGACTTTATCGGGAAGGGCACCTGGATGGAGAGCAGGAGGGCAAGGGAACCCAGGAGGACTGCTCTGCCATGTGGCTCCCAGTCTCGGTTTTATGGTGATCGGATTCGTTTCCAGGTTGTCTCTGGCCAGTCATTCTGATTCAGGGTCCTTCCTAGTGCTTCACACATCACTCAGCCAAGATGGATTCCAGCCAATAGGATTCTGGGAGATTGGCAGGACATGTGGACTGGAGTCTCCTCTCTCCTTTTGACCTTCCCTGAATTCTTCCAGTTGGTGGTAAGCTTGTTAGTTCCACATTCCTTACCAGGACCTCCTGCTTGAGATAACTCATTCTAGTAGTTACTATGGTGCCTGGCCAGGGCAGGCAGTCTCAGTCAGTAGTTCCCCTAAGAGATCTGTACCCCCACTGTCTGGGGTCCTTGCTCAGTCAGCTACCCTGACCTCCCTTCACTACCCAGATCTGAAACCACACAACCCAGACTGGAACTTGAACCCACTGTCTTTTAACTGAGACCACACTGCTAGTCTCAGGACTTAATGAAGCTCAGGATCTTGATGTCTCATTGCAGAAAGAATTCAGTGAGAGACAAAGTGATAGGTAAGAAGTGGATTTATTTAAAGACAGACGTATTCTATAAACAGCTTGCAAATATTTCTCAGCACTGCTGCACATGTGCTACATTAGGTCAGGAGGCTTCCTTCTGCCGTGCTGTCCAGCCATCTCCCCTGAGGGCTGGGCAGAAGAATCTTCCTCACAGGCAAATCTGCTCTTGTCCCTCCCCCACTAAAGCTCCCTCCTCCCTGAAACGCCTCCTCTTAACCTAGCTTAGCTTCTTGTTGACCTGAACGACGCCTACCTACCTGGTCTAACTTTTCCCCTAGCTACTCCCCAACTATCCTCCCAAAAGCCCTCTGCACACTAACCGTACTAAATTTATAAACTTCTAGTTTTTTCCCCATGCTGTGCTTTTTCAAAGCCCTGTGCCTCTGCATAGGCTAAGTATTCCTTCCCTGGAATGCTACTCTTGCCCTTGGCCACCTGGGGAATTCCAACATCAAAGGCAAGCATCCCATCACCCCTGTGTGATGTTCTGGGACTCCAGTCCTCTGTGGTGAGGTGATCCCACTGCCTCCTGTAAACATTTTCATTATGAGAATGTTCCCTTGTGTTGGACCATGTAATTTCATGGTCATCACTCTTACTGAACTTGAGTCTTTGAAAGCAGGGGCTTTCTATACTTCTATATCCTGGTTGCCAGGGTCCAGCCTGCAAGATGTACCCAAGGACAATTTGAAGAATGAACAGATGAACAAATACTAGGGGATGCCTAGCAAGACTCCTTTAGGGGCGTGTGTTGTTCCACAGAAAAGCTTTTATTAGGTATGATTGTTGAAAATAGGTGTTACGATCCTTTTTCTAGATGAATATTTCTTTTTTAAATGATAGAACTGTTTTTTGTTCATCTCAAAATCCTCCTCAAACAATTTGATTTCCAAATTATAGTACCTAATAAAGGAATGGGCTTCCTGGTGGCTCAGACGGTAAAGCGTCTAAGATCCCCTGGAGAATGAAATGGCAACACACTCCAGTACTCTTGCCTGGAAAATCCCATGGACAAAGGAGCCTGGTAGGCTATAGTCCATGGCATCGCAAAGAGTTGGACACGACTGAGCGACTTTACATACTTACTTACTTAATAAAGGAATGTGGATACATGGGTCTAGGTGTTGACCATCTTCATTAAACTCAAGATTAACAATCACTATTTTAGAATTAAAATTCAATCCTTTCTATGTTGAGAAAAGCCTTTCATTATTTTCTACCTTAGTACTGCCCCAGGCCTTATTTAAAACTCTCTACTGCTAGTGACCTACCCCAGCTTCTGGGTCTTTACACAGCAGAAGCATTCATTGACCCTCTTGTCCCCCTTTGTAATTTCCACTATTCTGTTGCTCTGGCTGCCTCTCTGCTAGCAAGAGACAGCTTTTAATTCTCCTAAGCAGAGGTCGTATCCAGCCTGCTAAGTTCAGAGCTTAATCTGTCTCTGTTTCCGTAATTGGAGCTGGCAGGTGTGAGCACACAGAATAAAGGCGTAGGTCTGATGTTATATCTACACTGGAATTTCCTTCCAGTAGGTCCTTTCTCATTAGAAGCTCTTTCTTACCTGTTCTTTGTTTTTTTTTTTCCCTAAGATATCTTTACTTTGTATGATTATCATACATTTGGAGTAGATGGTTCTTTTTAAAAAAAAAAAAACTTTTTATTTTGTATCTGTTATAGCCAATTACAATGTTGTGATAGTTTCATGTGAATAGCAAAGGGACTCAGCCATACATACACATGTATCCATTCTCATCCCCAAACTCCCCTCTCATCCCGGCTGCCATGTAACATTGAGCAGAGTTCCCTGTGCTCTACAGAAGGTCCTTGTGACTATCCATTTTACATACAGCATGTGTACATGTCCATCCCAAACCCCTAACTATCCCTTCTTTGAATCCTTCCTCCACCCCTGGCAACCATGATTTCATTCTCTGTCTCTCTCACTCACTTTCTAAATGGACCACCTCCCTTTGGTTGTGCTTTAGCAAATCTTCACACCATTGCACTAAATGAGGCCATTAAAAAAATTATAGTGCTTTCTTCAATGGACTAATTAAAGAAATGAATTGTAGGTTACAACTCCAACAGGACATCACTTGACTAAATTTTGTTTTAAAATATCGAATCCACTATAACCAACCACTTGGGGTTGGTGAGACCAGGGTACATGGCCCCAAACAGCTATGGACCAGAGTGCCAGATATCCAACTTTTCACCCTCTGCCCCTCCTTTTATTCTTCCTTCTTGGGGTCTTCAGTTGGGGCTAACAGAGTATTTTCAGCAAACCCCTCTTCTGGTTCCTCATGAGGGTGTTACATAGTGAAAGGCAGGGAGAAGAGTATTTGGAAGGTGAAGAGTTCAACATTGATTGAATATGGCTACAGCTGATACAAATTTTTCATTTTCAGTTCAAAATTTGACACTGAAATTGATTCTTAAAACCTCATAACAAGGTTGGTTTGCAAAATATGTTACCAAGTTCGCTAAATTCCAAGTAACTAGTCCTTAAAGGAGATAGTTTTAGTATCACCGTGTTTGTGAGGCTGTTCCAATTTCCTCTTTTCTTTGCAACCCAATGACTGTGTTCTCTGATGGCGCTTCTGAAAGAGGTGTGTCTGGTGGAGGGAAATGATCATTCTTGCCGTGCCTTACCTTCAGTAAAGTCCCTGAGCTTTTTCTATATTTCACAGCATCAGAGATCTCTGTTCTTTGCAAGAATGTCCCCTAACCTGTCTAAGGCTTTCCCCATTTAGAGAACACACATGTAGTTTTTTCTAAGTCCCCAAAGCAAGTGGACCGAAAGGAATGTTCCCCGCTTTTTGGCATCCTCCCTTCTCGCCAGCAGGAGATTCGCACCCTGGGTCTCCCTACCTCCCCAGGGATCCTGTTCATATCAGAAGGCTGGGGCTTCTAGCTCCTTCCAGGAAAGTGTGCCTGGTGGGCTTAATGCTCGGACTTCCAGTTTCCTCCAGCGAAAGGACGTGCCCCTACTGGTGTTATTCAACCACCCACAGCTGGGGACCACGTGCTCCTCTGGGCAGGGCAGCTCTGGCAGCTGAATCCATGCTCGTGATGCCATGTAACTGGTAGGAAAACCCTCCCAACAGAGCTGGAATCCATCTTCCCTTCCTTTACTGAAATTTTAAAAATTTATTTATTTTTGACTGCGCTGGGACTGCACTGCCATGCTCAGGTTTTCTCTGGCTGCGGTGTGCAGTCTTACTGTGGCGGCGGCTCCTGCCGCAGAGCTCAGCTCTAGAGCTCAGGCTCTGTATTTGTCGTGCACGAGCTTAGTTGCCCCGCGACATGTGGGATCTTCCCCTGTCTCCTTCATTGGCAGGTGGATTCTTATCCACTGTGCCACCAGGGGAGTCCCTCCCTTTCTTCCTGACAGAGCACAACTTGGACAGATTGCCTTCAAGCCTCCTCTTTAAGAAAATTTACTGTAGAGGAAGTCTGATTTCTTGAAAAAAATTTAGCAACATTCTAAATGTGATCTCAGGAAAGCCAGAGTGAACCATTTATTGTCTCTGTGCTGAGGGAAAATCATTGGGCATCTGAAGTAGGATGTTGGTCATGAGATCCTGGAGGCAAGAGTGTTCTTCCCTTGATGTGGGATTATAACCGTGTGGACTTCAGGATAAGAGTTCTGGAGGGGGGGACCCTCCTCCAAGGGTTCAGATGTGGTTTGTCTGGGTCTGTGGCCAACTCTTAATTCCTGTTACACAAAATACTAGCCTCTCGTTACCATTCTTTGAGCAGTTTAGTAATTTTCCATCAAGCTGTTTGACTTAAGACTGTGCCCCCACAGACGATGATAATTCCCATGTTGTTGAACACTCCTCCCTTTATCCATGTAGCCTGGCCTCACACTGCGGACTCTGAGATTACCCGAGATGAATCACTTCCCACCATCTCGCCCGGTCACCACTGACTATTTTCCCCTTAAAAAAGGAGCTTGCCTCTGAAACCATTAAGCCTCTGTATGTCATTAGCAGCCTCAGTCCATCCTGGTCAGATCAGGAGCCTCATTTCCAAGGCCTAAAAGATAAGCAGTTCAGCAGTAAGCCTATGACTGAGTGCCCTGCCATATCCGGAGGGAAAAATGCCATTACCTGTCCTCAGAAGACGTGTAGTTCTTGGGACCAGAACACAGAGTCATGGAGATCCATTACCCCTGAGGGCCAGGGGGAGCCATTTGGATGGCAACTGCCTTTTCTTTTTTTTTCAATTTTTTTTTTTATTTCAGCTGTGTTGGGTCTTTGTTGCTGCAGGAGGGCTTTCTCCGGTTTCAGTGAGGAGGGGCTGCTCTCCAGTTGCAGTGCTCAGGCTCCTCATTGCAGTAGCTTCTCTTATTACAGAGAACAGGTTCTAGAGCACAGGCTCAGTAGTTGTGGTGTGAAGGCTTAGCTGCCCCGACGCCCGTGAAATCTTCCCGGACCAGAGATCGAACCCATGTCCTCCACATTGGCTGGCGGACTCTCACCACTGGACCACCAGGAAAACCCAGCAACTGCCTTTTCTTACCAGTTTCTCCACTTTCTGCCCCTTCTGTTGTCAAAACCCCAGGGCCTCCTGATCCTCATCAAACATCTCTTCAGTGCCCACCCCAGAGGTCCCCCTGTTGTTCATTTACTAAGATGGTCTTACTGACAGAGACACACTTAGGGCAGAACAGAATTGAGGCCTCAGGGAACTGGCAAGAATCTGGGCAAGCTGACAATGCCTGGTCAAGGAAACGCATTGGGTTTTAAGCTAAGGAGAGCGTGGACACGACGCTCAGAACTCTTCCGGGAAGTAGAACCAGCTTCTCTGAAGAGCCAGTGAAGATGCAGTGGCTGGCTCCCCAGAAACCCCCTGTAGTGTTGGCCTGTTTGTTGCGTTACTGAATTTAACTCTATGGTGGAAGACAACAGGGCACTAAGCTTAACTCGGTTTGGCTTAGGTTTCCCTGGTGGCTCAAACAGTAAAGAATCCGCCTGCAGTGCAGGAGATGTGCTTCGATCCCTGGGGCAGGAAGATCCTCTGGAGAAAGAAATGGCACCCCACTTCAGTATTCTTGCCTGAAAAATCCCACGGACAGGGGAGCATAGCAGACTACAGTCCAAAACTGTCACAAAGAGTCATACGCGACTGAGCGACTGAATACACACAGGGCAAAAGAGAACCACCTAGCAGGGTCCTTCTAGATGTGCTGGTGAAGAATGTCCCCTGACTGAAGTGAGGAGATGGCCGCCCTTCCCCTCCCCACAGAACAAAGTGAGGGTGCATGGCAGGGAGTGGATAAGAACTTTCACATCAGATTCGTTTCACACCTACTCTTCTGGCCATCCCATGAGCAGACATTTCCTTGTGGAATATTTTGAACTTGGTCAACATCAGTCATTTTGGAGAGTATGATAAAGTGGCCAAGCAGCATCTGCTTGGTTTATCTAAAGGCTCTTCCTTGATCAAAACCCCAATCCATTTTTATTCTAGTCCTGACAACTTGTGTGCTTGTGTGTGTGTGTGTGTGTGTGTTAGTCACTCAGTCTTGTCTGACTCTTTGCGACCCCATAAACTGTAGCCCAACAGGTTCCTCTGTCCATGGAATTCTCCAGACAAGAATACTGGAGTGGGTAGTCATTCCCTTTTCCAGGGAACCTTTCTGACTGAGGGATTGAACTCAGGTCTCCCACATTGCAATCAGATTCTTATATTGTTTTATTCCTATTCCAAAAGTAATGCATAGTCAATATAATTTAGGAATTAAAAACAAACAAACAAAAAGACTGTAAAAACCATCCTTAGTTCCTCATTTCAAGAGGAATCACCATGTAAAGATATCTGTTTGGGTCCCTGGGAATAAATTCTACTTATTGCCAGAAATAAGTGGAATTTCTGGATTATATAATTCTATTTTTAGTATTTTGAGGAACTGCCACACTGTTTCCCATAGCAGCTGTACCATTCCCATCACAAGGATCCCAATCTCTCCACATCCTTGTCAACAATTGTCACTTCTTGGTTTTGTTTTTTCTTTTTTGGCAATAGCTATCCTAATGGGTATAAAGTGGTCAGGCCAATTTTTTAATTTCTCTTGGAAATTACCTCCTGAGTCCTTGAGCCAGTCTTTGCAAAGTATCACATGTGGTTTGAGATTCAGACCACTGAAGAGAGATTTGATTGATGGAATTTTCTACTTAAAAATAACTAAAAATCTTTTCTCACTCTACTGATTTTTTTCTTGACAATTTCTAAAAGGATCTGAAACAACCATGATCAAAGTTATTCAGCATGAAAGGTGGGTGATCAAGGTGGCAGATACTGATTATAGGAACAAAATAAGGTTGAATACCAGGCAGCTTGTGTCCTTACTTTGCCCTGAAGCCTCTGAAAAAGGCAAGTTCCTGAAATGGTGTATGCCATGAATGGCATGGCTGAGATGGGATCATGGTATTTCCAAGATGCCTTTTTTGAAGGACAACACTTCAGTATAAATAAACTGCCCAATATATTTTATTTTTTTATACCCTTTGGCCAACATCTCCCTGTTTCTCCCACCAACACCCCACACCTTGCCGCCAGACCCTGGCAACCACCATACTATTACCCCTTTCTATGAGTTTGGCTCTTTTTAGATTCACATATGAGTGAGATCACATAGTACTTATCTATCTCTGTCTGACATATTTCAATTAGCATAATGCCCTCAAGAGCCATCCGTGTTGTCACAAGTGGCAAATTGCCTTCTGTCTTATGGCTAAATAGTATCCCATACATGTCACATTTTCTTTATCCATTCATCCACTGGTGGACACCTGGGTTGTTTCCGTATCTTGGTGATTGTAAATAATGCTGCAGTGAACATGGGGATGCAGGTATCTCTTCAAGATACTGATTTCATTTTCTTTGGCTATGTGCCCAGAAGTAGAATTGCTATATCAAAAATATTCTTCTACTTTTAATTTTTTGAGGAACCTTCATGCTGTTTTCTATAGTGGCACTACCAGTTTACATTCCCACCAGCAGTGCAAAGGGGTTACTTTTTCTCCACATCCTCACCCACACTTGTTATTTCTTAACTTGAACATCTCTGTAGACATAGCAGCCATCAAAACCAGAATAACCCTGATCTCTCCCTCTCTCTCTCTCTCTCTCTCTCTCTCTCCCTCTCCCTCCCCCCGCCCCTCTCTCTAGGGAAGACATGGACACAAAGAACTCTACTCTCCTAGTGTGGCCAATCAAAGAAGTTAACACAGGGGATTTACAAGCTACAAGACAGGAGAACCCTAGAAGGAAGAAAAAGAAAGCCAGCAAGAGGCTACCTCTCCAGGAGGTGGTCTCCTCAGACTCAGATGACGCTTCCCGTGGCAACAGGTCCCGAGACTCCCACACTAAGAGACACCCAAAGCCCAAGCTGGGAGGGGGACATCGTGTCTCCCAGGAACACCCTGAAGTCTCTCTCAAGGATAGTGCATGTGAGATCACACCCCAGTTTCCGGGTCAGTTTAGGCCCCAGCACAGCAAAAACTCAAACACCCTTAAGTAATGCTGACATCACTTCCCCAGAGAATGTCCTCAGCCTGGGGTCTAGCAGTCAACCAGCCGTGCCATCGCTGCCACACCCACACCTGGAAAAGCCCCACCCTGCCCTCATCAAGCGACCCACAGCCGGGGTCTGAATAGCACCACTGAGAAACCTGAAAGCAGTCTAGCGCCATCCATGTTCGCGAGAACCAGTGTTCCTTCAGGGCTGCTCTCTGCCACCTGACACTGTGGAACTAGCCCCTCTGCTGAGGTAAGGCCGCGCGCCATTCTATCCTCGCCTTCCCTGGCTTGACGAGGGTAGTCATCCTTGCCACCCTCTACCTGGATCTAGTTGAGCCTATTGATCTGACTTTCCTGGGGCATTCTTCATCCTATTATTTCCCCTGTCCTCAAAAACTGATAGAATACCATCTTCCATAGACACACACACCCAGAAGTTTAATCTGACAGATTACCCTCATAGGATTTTCAAGTTTTTTGAAATCTGTAGTTCTAATCTTGAAATTCTGTAGTTCTAATCCAAGCTTGCAATCTCATTTTGCATTGATTATCTCATCATAATCAGAAATTTTATCATTAAATGTTAGGACTAAAATCAAGACCTAGTAACTTGTCTGAGAGCCGTAAAACTGAACATTACCTATTTTGTTGTTGTCTGAAAATTTTTATTGAGCCCTCCCTAATTGTTTTTGTCTGAAGTCTGTTGTAGGTACTTCTAATTGAGCGTGGAACCAGAATAAAGACTCTTACATTGGAAACATTTCAAAACGATTGGGCTGTTTGTTACTGTTTTCTTGAACACATTTTGGCAATGACATACAAGAATATTCACTTCTATTCAATAATTGTTTAGTAAAATTAGCTTCATGAATTTTATTGTTCCCCCTCTCATTCTTAGTGTAGATGTTGGGAAAGGCAGTTCTCCTTGCAGCTTCCTGGAGATGAGTGATGAGAAGGTTGGTTTATTTCTTTTTCTTTTTTTTTTGGCTACACTAGGTCTCCACTGAAGCGCCGGCTTCTCTAGTTACAGCACACAAGCTGTCTAGTTGTGGCTTGAGAGCTTAGTTGCCCTGCAGCATTTGGGATCTTAGTTCCCCTACCAAGGATCAAACCTGCATCTCCTGCATTGGAAAGCAGTTTCTTAACCACTGGACCACCAGTGAAGTCTTAGCTTCATTAATTTTTAAAATACAATAGTCTCCCAAATTCTCCTCTCCTAGTCAATAATAGCTCTGGGTCTATATAATAATAGGGTGCATATTATTAATAAGAAAAATATTGGATGCTTTCTCCAAATAGAAAAGATAGGGCAGTGTTGTGATATTCTAAAATCCATAATCTAATTAAAAGTGATGTTTACATTCCTAAAAGCTGGGGGGGTCACCAGGGTTATGATGAAGAATTTCAAGGAGGAATCCAGTTCCAAAAATATGAAAGAAAAAGGGACATTGACTCAGCATCAGGTTAAAATGCTTCAGTAACACATGGAGGAAGGAATTGAGGACTGAGGAAATTATCTGGAACAAGGCTGGGGAGAGCATCCTATCACTGGGCATCCTGTCACCCAGAACCCCAGCAGGAAGATACTGGAGCAGTCAGCTGGGTTTGGTCTGCACAGCTGAGAACTGATGGGGTAGGAAAGAAGTCATTCACTTGGTCATAGTGATTCTTTCATGCATGTGTGCTTTCATGTAAGCCTGCATATATCCATTCACTTATTCAGTAAACAGTTGAGTGCTGACTGTGTGCCAGGCTGCAGAGAAACCATTATACTATTCTGCCTCTCTCCAGACCCATGGGGATGCAAAGATGAACTACAGGACAAATATTCATAATAGTATTTTGTTATTACATTATGGTGTATGATATGCTCAATGCCATTAAGTGATATATTCAACATGTTGTCCTTCAGTGATAATGCCCAGTTCTCTGGGCTGGAAAAACTGCAATAATTGATGTATTTCCACTTCCAGCCAATGTGGAATAACAGAAATTAGATTTCTACCCATACGCACTTCCCCCACCTGAAACAACTAAACCACCTGATAAAATGTATGTAACAGTTTCCAAAACATTGGACAGAAGCATTGATCTCTGGAAAACAAAGTGAGCCCTGTGAGTGCCTGATATACTGTCTAGAAACAGTTTCCAGGCTTCAGCAAAGGCAGGAGATGTATTACCAGCCATCCTTACATGTGCATCTGTATGCATTGCCTCAAGTAACTTGTGTATTTGATTTTCACTGAATAAATCTGCACTTTTAGCATATGACAGAAGAAATAATAAAAAAGATTAGATCTGTTAAAAATAATAACTATATATACAGATTTTATAGCTACCCTTTAGCCTGGATTAAAAGCCAGGAGCAGAGGCATCAGGATGGAGTAATTGATAGCCACGCAGAGCTATGTGGAATGAGTACAGGGTGACAAGCTCTTATCAGAAGAAGGGGAACAGATGGTTCAAGAAGAGACCAGATGACCACCTGAGTGATGTAAAAAAAGATTCATGCATCAAATAACAGAATCCCCAACATTACGTCTAAGTTCCTTTCAACTCTGAGAGTCTGTGCAATACTTAGTCCATTACTAACTCAGAGCAGTTCAACATAGATGAAAAACCATCCTTATAAAAAGGTAGAGGAGTTGTAACCAACACAATTAGATGAGAAAATTAATTAGGAGAATAGAATTGAAAAGGAAAATTATATTTTCACATGAAAAGAGAATATACCTAAAAAACCTGAGAGAATAAGTGATAATATTGATACTAATTAAAACAAAAAACAAAAATTCAGTGAGGTGGCAGGATAGAAATTTAATATACAGAAATCATTAAGTTTCTGTATGAAAAAGCAAACTGTATGAAAATCAATACAGTTTTCCTACACAAGTAATGATCAATTAGAAGATATATTGATAGAGAAAACCTCATTTACAACAGCAACTAAGAAAATTAAATATAGTCAATTCTCATAAATCTCATATTTTAAATGGCATTTAGGTTCTATAAAGTTACCTCTAAAACTAAATTTAGCATATACTGAATTATCGTTCTTAGGGGTTAGGTTCCTGTGAGCCTCTGGTCACATCATTTCCACCAACTGATCAACATCTAACCTCCTTTTATGTGTTTTTCTGTTTAAAGACACTTTTTTTAATATGTATTGTTGATTTGTTAACATAGAATTCATGGCCAACAGTGCTAAAACTCATATCCGAAGGAAGTGTATATGTATTTTCTTTGTAAGGTACATCATAGCCTTCTTGCACTTAGGAACACTAGACAGCACTTCAGCTCTACTTCATTTTAAACAGTGAAGTCACCAGCAGCAAACAAAAATGTGGAAAAATGTGGCACTAAATATGCCACGAAAAAGACATCTTTTTACCATATGAGAGCTGAAACGAGAGGCAGAAAGATGACTTAAGTTTTCACCACCACTCTGAGCAAAAGCATATTCTACAAAATACTTTGAGTATTGATTTTGGAGTTACAAAGATGTTTTAGTGACCAGGTGAATCACAGCTACGGAAATCCATCAATAATGAGGATCTACTGTAACTTGAATAAACTTAACAATAAATTTGCAAAAACAATATGAGAAAAACTTTAAAACACTCCTGAAAGTCACAAAATTAGACTTAATAAGCATCCCTTGATTTTAGATAAAATGGCTCAGCATCATGAAAATATTAGTTCTCCCTGAGTTCATTTTTTAATGTAACATAGTCCCAATAAAAATAATACCAAATGTTTTATAAGACTTGAGAAGTTGGTAGTACAGTTATATAGAAAAATAAATATGTGACAGTAACTTGAAAATGCTAAAAAGAAAAATGAGAGGGACTTGTGATAACACATGAAACATGATAACATCTTCATGCTTAAAACTGGTTTGTGCTAACAGAAGACAAGGAGACCAATGGAATAAAATAGTGTCTAGAAACAGACCCAAATATAAATGGAAATTTAGTGTATTACAAAGGGCTGATATCCCTAAAATATAGAGAACTCTTAAAAATTGAAGGAAAAATGACCAAAAACATGGCAGAAAATAGGCAAAGGACATAAAAAATTATGTAAGAATAAACAAACAAAAAGAATAAACATAAAGGCTTGAAAAGATGTTTAACTTCACTCTTGTTAAGAGAACTACAGATTAAAACTATTTGGAGAACTTCCAGAAACGTGGCAATGTGAAGTGCTAATGCAAATCCTTTCACAATGACAATTTTAAGACCTGGATAAAATATTTTTAAAAGTCAACAGGTGGGACTTCCCTGGTGGCCCAGTGGCCCAGACTCCACGCTCCCAATGCAGGAGACCCAGGTTTGTTCCCAGGTCAGGGAACTAGATCCCATAGCTGAGAGTTAAAATGTGGCAACTAAGTATCTTGAATCCCGAATCAAAGATCAATGCTATAGCTAAGGCCTGGCACAGCCAAATAAATAAAAATAAATATTAAATAAAATTCAACAGGTATTTAAAACCACAATAAAAATTTTCAAAAGCATATAGGATATGGAGAGTTTATTCTCCAAAAACTGCATCTAGAAGGGGTAAGATTTGTGAGGTGGTGACACTCTGGCTTAAGGGCAGTTCCCAATTTTCACGGCCAAGGCCACAGAAAACTATAGGCTGACTGGCTCCAGGTGCCAGAGATAAGAGTTCAAAAGAACTGGAAAGAAGTGAGCTGGCAGAACTGGAAAGAAAAGAGCTGGAAAAGAAGTAAAAATTTAACGATATCTTGGCAGCAAGAAACCACAGTCAGAGTGAGTCATAAAAACTGAGTATTAACTTTTTATTTCTGATTGATCACTAAACAATATAAGCATGTGTAAGGGAGAACTCAGGGAGCTCTGTTTAAAACAAACAACAACCAACAAAGGCAGAAAACAGGAATTTTATGAGATAGAGCTGCATGGAGCAAAGCCTGTGTGTTGGCTGCCTGTTAACTGAAATGTATTTGCAAATCATGTACAGCTTGGGCAGCAGTAATCTAATCCTGTGGGATTACCACATCAGGGGACAGAGTCTGAGGCTGGCAGTGCAGTTGAAAATTTAAACAAGGAAAGAGTGAGCTTCAAAATCTGCCACCAAGATATATAGACATAAGGGAACTACCTAAGGTGCCAGAATTAAAAAGCAGCAATGAGAAGCCGTAAGAACAGAATAAAAATGTGAGCTGCTTCATACTACAGGAGAGAAAAGTTTGCAGTTTGAGTACAACAAGTTAACTTATTACTAGAATGAAAAAAAAAAAAAAACAGCAGACCAAAAATAAATAAACAAAAACCCCCCTTGAAGAACACAACAGGCTTCAACACTGCTAGAATATATTGCCTACAGTGTCTGATTTTGAATCAAAAAATGTAGTAGACATGCAGAGACACAAGAAAATGTGTTTCATTCTAATAGTTGAAAGAATCAATAGAAACTTTGAATCTAGATGTTGTATTTAACAAACTTCAAAGCAATAATCATAAATATGTACAGGAAATTAAAGGAAAATCAATGAAAAAAATGAATAGGGAATCTCAGTAGATAAAAGGAGGTCTTAAAAATACAAAGGGCGAATTCTAGAGCTGAAAAATATAACAAAGCATACTAAAAGGACTGAACAGCAGGAGGAAAAAGCAGAAGAATCATTGAATTTGAAAATATATTGAGAAAAATTACCCAATTCAAC